ATAAATTATTAATTTTAAATACGGACGTATATAAAATTTATATTTTGTACTAACTTAAATATTCTTTCAACAAAGGTTAGCAAAGAGTTATTGAACTGATTCTCTTGAATAAGCTTAAGCAAGAACACTCACTAAAAACATCATCATCTTTCAATCATCAGTTAAAGATGATATGCAAGACACAGTTATACAAGTTGAACTTAAAAAACCCCTCCTTTTAGTCGGTGGAAAAAATCTTCAAACATTCAAAAATAGTTTAACAGCCGTATACTTACTAATTCACCACCGAAGTTATTTTTTTTATATTTTAAACCAGTCTCACCTGCTTTGGTAATTACTGTACAAAAAGGAGTGACTCTCGAATGTAGTACCTACATTTTTGCTCGTGGAACAAGCACCACGATTCTGTACAAAAAATTGAGGCAAACAATGACAAAGCGAGATCAAGTATTCGTACCTATAGCAGTGAACGCAAATCTATTAAACACCAAAGCTTCTCTCAACTCTACTGAGAATATCTTTGATTTCCGTACTTCATCTCTGTGACGGAATGCTTAATATTGAAGGCTTTAAGTTTGTTTTGCGCTCTGTTCGTCCTTTTTTTGCACACAACCATCTAATAACGGGAATGGAGCTCTTATGTCTCACAGTCATATATTGATAGCGAACCCACCTGGTGAGTTCCAGCCGTTCTTAGGTAGACATGTAGATACATATACATTTACTATCCCTAAATACACATCATAGTACAATATCAGGTAAGGCTTAATAAAGTAGTCCGTTTCAAATTGATTTGGTAATAAGTATTCAGCTTAGTACAGGTGGCACAGAATTTCATAATATATATATTTTTCGCACTTCTTACAAGAACCATCATGATATTTGAGCTATTTTACATGAATTAGTCATTTATTATACCCCTAAACTTCCTCCAGAATCACTCCGTCTGTTACTAAAAATAGTGAGAAAATCCGTATGGTGGTTATTCGGTTTCTCGCGTTTGGGCAGGGTAAGAAAGACAGGGAGAAGCGACAGAGAATTTCGGATTTTTTTAAATGTCGTGACTAGAAAAATATATTTCAGTTTCGTTGTTATGTTTAATCTTTCAAATTTTATTATTTCATTATAAGGTTTTATTAACTACTGCATTTATAACCTAATAGGTATAATATGGGTTTTTAGTTATGATGTAGTTAGGAAAGAAATTAATACCGATTTCCTTTATGAAGAAAAGGTCATGGCCAAGGCAACTGGCGAATATACAGACTCCATTAACCCTTTTGAAGACAACATAATGTCTATCTATATCACGTAGGCCCTTATTACCTTCTCTTCCTACAAAGTAACAAGGGCCTAGATAACATTGAAAGTCAATTGATTTTTTATACTTAATGTGCTAACGGTACAGACTGCACTTCTTTCTTCGGATTCCATTTGAGATAATCTTTTCGTAGAAGTATTGTTAGTTAAGGATGTGTAGCGGGAGCTATAAGGTAAGCAGAAATGTGTAGGTACCTAGGTGCTTTTGACATAAATTATATTTAGATATTGATTTCATGTACCACTACTATTGTTTTTTTTGTCACCACTGTCCAACTAGTTATACCTTTTTTTTTTTTTTTTTCCGTGCGGAAATCCCCTCGGATACCACCTGTCGGTGGCATGTCGGACTCGAACCGACTAAAACCGCACGCCTTCGCCGGGTACTAATAGCCGGGGAACCAGGTATACCCTAGAAAGGAAGTCCCTGGTGCAACTAGTTATACCTACGTAATAGTGCTACTGGACTTATGACCGCGAACGTACATACCAGACATTTTTGACCAGTTATGTGCTTATTTTAATAATACCCAACCAGGAATGAATTATAAAAGACACATAATTGATATTGACATTAGGGATCTGTATAAAACAGATGTCCTATTAAGCAACTGACACACTTCATTTTTTACAATATTAAAACTTAGGGGCCATTCATAAACAAACATTTACAAAAATAAACATCAAATTATTACGAATCTTCAAAAAACGATATTAGGTTTTGAAATGTGACGAAACTAAGGATCCCTCCCGTCGCTTGTCATACATTATCACACCTCGTCGACCCTCCTCCCCCACGTGTGAAGTAATTTATGGATGACCCCTTAGATATTGTGTTAAATCACACATTATTTGTTCAAATTATTATTCGCAGCGTCGCGTCGCCTCGGTGCCTAAATAATACAATGTTTAATTCCACTCCATCTCCAGTAAAAGGAGAATATAATTTGCTAATTGTTGTCGGATCTACCATTCTGTGACGAATTCGAAATTACTTTTTTTCTCGAGAATATTTTTTCTAGTATTTCAGTGGCAAAAAGTGAGTAAACAGAACTCCGTGGATAAGTTACCGTTTAATTTGTGGTGTGTGGTAGATCGAGCTGTAACTAAATGCCTTTAAAACTTGAAATAATTTTTGTGGTTAATGTCCTTTAACAACGCTTTGTGGTTGAAGCTACATTAGGAAGTTCTTTTTTATTTGCCGTAGTTAAGCTATTTAGGAACTCAATTCCTATTAGAATTGTGTTTTAAGGCTTGCAGAATTGCTTAGTGGAGTACTTACATAAAACTATCTTTGTACCGGACCAAATATTTCTGGTATTCTATATATACCTTCAAAACAACAAAGTATTGTTTTTATAAATAAATAAGATGTTTATAGATCTGTGTAACGACGCTTGCAATAGTTATTTTTTTATAATACCAAAATAATCATAAAAAATAAATACCTATAATAAAGGAAGAGTGGTCAGGTCAGTACTCGGTAAGAAGATCCTTTAACATCGATTGTTAAAAACATGGTGCTGTTCAGCGGCGGACGTAAATAACCTAAACCGTTAATAAAATATACTACTACTACTAATAAAATTAAACCTAACCGTTGGGTTTCCTAAGACTTGCTTCTTAAAGTACCTGACCACAGTAAGGTTTAAGTCAGTTCTAATCCTTTACTACACTGCTAGCGTCAATATTTAAAGTAGTATTTTCACACGTCAAATAAATATAATTAGATTAACATATGCAGATAAACATACCCATATGTAGATCATCATCACCACCATCTGCCTACCCTTATACTGATTTTATTTGGGGTCGATGCAGTATGTATGATTCTTCCATTCTACTCTATTATTCGTCGTTTTACTGTTTACCCATCTGCAGATATTAGTAATATTTTGCGTGATCATGAGTATAGTTATATACTTCCATTTCCATCACAGGCATAAAAGTTTTCAGTTCGCTTTGGGACCACTTCATGATACAACGCATACACCTACTTACCTACAGAGAATTTTCAAAATAGCTCCTCAAAATTACTCAATTCTCTGCTCAATTTCCACAAAATCAAGTATTGTTATCCTCAGCGGGTGAAATAACAAATGCGGAAGGGCGTTGCGTAACGCGCCAGTTCCCGTTAATACGTCCCGTTGGTGTTCGCTTGATAAGTGTTCATAGCACGTAGCAGAATGGGATGTCCGTTAGTCTGCTATAATTCAGATATAGATCACCGACACAATCATTGTCCACCTGCAGCGGCCCTTGGCTTCCCCATGTTTCGGCCATGATGGCTTTTGCAAATTACCAACTCCTGTTTTCCATTTTCAATTCATATACATATTTTTATGACCTACTTAATTCATAATATGCTATTGTTTAGTTAATCTTCAATTTTTTAACTCTGCTTATCAGTAGGTATTAAACTGCGAAACTTTTATTGAGATTTTGGGTAGAAGGACATCCACAGATATGCGGGTTAAGAAATTTGAGTATTAAAAAATTAAACTGTAAAGCTGCGTCTTGCTGCTACTATTGGGTACGTTTTAAATGTGTATCTGAATGATTACTGATATAACGTGTACTATTGCAAATATTGATATGTACATTTCTTTCATGAATAGTATCAAAGTTTTCTTCAAAATTGATTGAACTGCAAAACTGCAGACCAAATAACTTAAAATTGCCGATTTGCGGTAAATAAGCACAATGACATTCCAAGAAACCAATAAATTATTCTTAACACAAATACTTCTTGATCTCTAACAATTAGATAAATATTATTTCATGACTTCTCATATAATGTACTGCTGCATCATCATTTCATCTCATTCCAAAATATACCTATAATGCTGTGAGTCTGCTGGAGAGCAACACCAGCACAACAAAAACATAAGAGTTCTGGACTCGTCGTACTTAAAATGAATGGTTTGTAAAGCACAAAATCCCAAGGGGATCAAATAGGATAAAGGAAGGAGGGAGGGTAAGTATTTAACCAGGTCTAGAATGAGAGTTGGAGAATAAAAACTGCTAATAGGCCAGACTCGCGTACCCTTACCTATATTCTATGGTTGAAGAGGTCACAAAACCAGGGAGATAAACTGGCCACCAACATGCAAAGACACCATTCGGAAAATTTACTGGATAAAAAACGCTTCCCAAAAGTCAAGCCCAAAATCCCAAAATTAACTTTTGTGATATTTTTTTCTGCCATGTTTAGAAGACAATAAGTTTATGGTCTGCTCCACTCCTAAGAACAGTGCCGTGGTGTTACATAGCGTATAACCTTTATCAAATAACTCTTTATTCATACATAACGAATTTTATGAATCCTAGCTCCTAAAGATATTCCATTCATTTACCTACGCGTAAGACATGTTCTGATTCATATCATTTATAACACGAAGGTTTTTGTTTAATTTTCTTGAAAAAGACAAGTAAGTACAGTACAAGTAAGTAAGTAGACAGTAATAAACTGTTGCTTGTGTACAAGTAGCGAATTTAGGATCTACTCGTATCTGTATGTGGTGTAAGTGGTTTACTGGTCACGTTTTAACTCCCCATGGTGTTTCTAATTACCCAGAAATCTGACCTGTACAGCAGTTTTCCTGTAGTTAGAACGTCACTGTTGTCACCTGGTGTGGTTGACGGTGCGTGACGCCTGCGCAGACGCAGCCAGTGCCGCCATGGCGGTGTGGTGCGGCGTGCGTATTCTGCCGCTTGAGCGTCGCGTCTACTCCATTACGCTTGTGGTGCGTTGGTGTTAAAGTTATTTTACTTCTTAGTGTTGATCCGTTTTTATGTCAATAAGTGTATGTGACAATAGCATGTTTATGCTCAATTGAATAAGCGTATAACGTTAACATAAGTATATTTTGTATTATTGTTAAATTTTATTCCAATCTGCCGTTTGAAGTCGGTAATACATGCTTTTGTATACCATGATAAAATGATTTACCCTTACCTTAAAAATCAACTTCGTTTAAAAAAAAAACAGCTATGTTATAAAGTTCAACTTTACTAAAAAGTTTCGGATAGAATCCGGATGGTATGCGTCCTTAAAGCCTTTTATCATTCAGCGACGACACGACTTCGTCATAATGTAATGAATAAAAAAATCTAAATGTGACACTTCATAGACAAAATGTAATGAAAGTGAACCCAAAAAACGCAACTTTAAAACAATCATATTTTGTGTTTTTTACTAACGTGTTGCTATAAGTAGAGATACAAAAATTATTCATGGCATATTATACTTTTCGTGAGAAAAACTTAAATTTGTTAAGTGATTCAAAACTGCCTTTAATTTGGTACAAATGAAAATAGATGACAACGACGTGCGCTTCATTTTAAATTTTAATTAAACTTATAAATAAGATGCAGGTGTCTAAGGCTGTTCGTAAAGAAATAGTTCATTTCTAGATTCCAATAAAATCTATTTAAGCTATCTATCAATAAATTCTTAGAATAAATTACCGAAAACTTTCGTAATCAGGTAATCTTTTAGACTTACAATATTAAAATGCTTGTTTGATTGTTTGTTACTTAAAGAGTTCTTAAATAGAGTATTCTCTAAGAAATTTTGCGGTTTATGTGACATCACGATATGACTGTCAGGAGCAGAGCTATGACGTAGACGCATTTGAAACTACGGGAAACTGCTCATATAATACATAGAGCGGTATTGTGTTTTGTTTGAAGACGCTTATCTTAGGGTCTTAGGGAAGTGGATTTCCAGGGAACTCTTTTACATGGTTCGAACTAGGACACTGTTCTAAACACTAGCGAAGACACGAAGACAACTTGTAAATAAAAATTTTCACTCCCCCTGCCTTGGGAAATTACCCACACCCCATAAATTGCTGAATTGTTTTGTCGTTTTTGCGTCATCATCAACCTTTAGTAGTCCACTGCCATAGGCGTACTCTACCACGCATACCCTACGTCCTTGAATATTTTACCTGAAATTGATCCTATAGCTATAAATTACTTTGTCACCTTCAATGTCTACTTTTACATAATCTTAATGGAAACTGTGAGGTGTATTACGAACGTTTGGCAACACCCATGACAATTCCATTTTCTGATCGACACCCGTTTGTGAGGATCAATACATTTTTTTTAAGATGACAATTTTTGTTATAAGTGTGGACCAGGTAAATATTCGTTCTTTTTAAAACTTCATTATTCTCACCCTGAAATAAAATGCACCATTGGTAATTGTTCTAAAATACTAAATTATTTAAATCAAGCATATGACATAATGACGAGAATTTAAAAATATTAAGTTTGTTTAAAAGATTATTTAATATTTTCAAAGATTACACAATGACGCAGAATTAAAAATGCCAGAGTACTGGGTGTAACAAAACTATGACTTTTTTTAAATATTCTTCAAAAAATCAAAATGTAATACGAGTACATATAAAAAACAAAGTGCACATAATTCGATAAATCTGAGATGTGACTAAGATGGACGAGGTTTAGTTTATTTTCCATTGCCCGCCAATTCCCGGGTTTAGCGATTTAAGATTACGGTGTTAAAAAAATATCAATTTAATTTATTAGACACGCAGATTTATGTCAAGCTAGATAAGCGTACATGAACTATCCCCAAAAAGAATATCATTCCTAACATGACGTAGGATAACAGAGCTATCTTCTTCTTTCTTAATAGTAAAGAAGTAATAACTAGCAATAGGTACATCTGTTTGTATTAAACCAAAAGCAATACCATAGTAATATCAATACCTAAAACTTGTAACTTATTCTTTAGTAATACATACATACAACGCCTACCTAAATGTATTAAAATTGTGTAATAATGCAAGTCACGCGATCACAACACGAAATGATGAGTTTTCTGTACGGAATTAGCTATGAAACTGATTGATAGCCAGAGCAATTTGAACATGACGATGGGAAACAAAATATCATTTTTATTCACTTATTTGTTGATAAAAATGTTTAGTGCCTACCTTTTTTAGTGTACGTACGTATATAAGTCAAATATGTGTGGATAATTTATAGGTAAAAAATATCCATATAAAAACAGGACCCGACCAAATAAATTAATTTAAAAAAGTAATACAGTTAAGTAAAAATACTTTTAATTATAGTATGTTTGGGTTTATTTAAATTTTACAGTTGAAATTGTACAATTTCAAAATGAAAATAATAGTTAGCTTACAAATAAACTTTATATAATATAATAGACTAAAATATTATTTATTTACAATCTATTTAAGTTTGATGTTAATGTTAGATACAACCTTTGGATGATTTTAGTGTCAGTACGATTTTAGGATTCAGGAGCTGATTGTATTTGTTAGCTACTTACACCTTACCTAAAGAGTTTCACGCCGTTTTGAATGATGACCTGCATGGTCAAAAATAAATCCGGGGAGATACCACGTGTCGCACGTGCCACATGACTTTGCAAAGTATTGTTTAATTTTCTAAAGCGAATAGCTGTTTACTGTTCACTTTATGTGGATTGCATTAAAAATATCAATCGCGAAAATTATGAAATTAAAAATATGAAGTCTTCGTAGCTGTTAATAAATACCTCTATAATTATTCCCTTATCATTTAAAAATGTAAGTTGAGTGTGTTGTAGTTAGTAGGGGTAGGCATTTATTAAATATATACGATTTTAAAGCGGTGAAGCGTCTTGAATTTGATGGCAGCGATATCCAGAAGCCTTGATAACTGACCCCCATAAGGTCCGAATCTGCAAGTAATGAGACATCCTTGAAATACACATAAGAGTAAAACCGTATCTGTAATAAATATGAGTACAACTCACGAACCTTTTTATTTTAAGACTTGGTTTTATCAATACTTATGCAGGTTTAATCAAATAACTTCATATTAAGTTATTTTTATAAATCATGACAGCAAGAGCAGAACGTATCATATATTAATTATCTAAAGTGTTATAAAGTACACCATAGACTACCCTAAATCAGATTAAACAATATCCGTGTAAAGTGTAAAGGTTGTCTGTAAGAGATCGCCGTGAGCGATAAGACCGCCTATTGTAATACCAAAATGTAGAAGTCCATGTCTGTACAATATATACTGTAGCGGTACACAATAAAGATGTATAAATAAAATAAAATTAATAAATTAATCAAGATCTGTAAACTACTCGTACATTTGTTTTTACTTCTGTTTTTTTAGGTAGGTAATTACAAATGATCAAGTGTAGGAACACATCTGTTCTAGATTCGTGGCGAAGTTTTGTTGATGTACGCGATATGTATTCCTATGTACACGATGATCGATAGAGAAAAACAAAATATAAAACTTGTATACGTATATTTTGCAAGAATGTGACAATATCAATCATATGATTGACATAATTGACAATCGTAAAAATATTCCTCTTTTTTTCAAACAATCCCATATTTCAGTATACATTTTACAATAAAAGTAGCTCAGCGAGATTTGCTATTAGATTTGTAAACTCAAGTGACGGTCACGATGCGATTTATCTACAATCTTCGAGCTTACAGAAGTCGTCTATTTATAAATCTCTAGTTATCTAAGATCAGTTTTTGATTGAATTATTATCTAGCTGTATCTATATAACTTATTAACCCACGCTTTTGAAGTCTACTGTCAATTATAACATAAATAAATATTCCAATACCTCTGTAAATTGTAGAAAATACGTACATATTATATGCATACAAATAGTTTTAAAAAGCGTTAAGATTTTTGCCACACTTTAACTGCTTGGCTGCTAATCCCACTGGTAGTCGGTAGCAGTTTCTTTTCAAATACTTAGATACCAAATACCTACTGTAGAACTATTTCAGTATGACAGCAGTCCGGTTACCATAGTACAGGTTCTGTCGATTAGTTTGGGATTTGTGAGATGTGTGAACTTATGAATTAATGTTTTTTTTTTATCTAAACGCATTATATGTAGTTTCTAGGTGGATAAAAGTACAACGCATCAAAGAACCCAACTGGCACGGTGCTTAAAAATTATAGATTTCAACTTTCCTTTTAGTAATAACTACATACATATGTAATAATAGACCACAGGTAGCAATCGTTTTGGATAATTTGTGTTAGAGTACAAAAAAACACGTTGATTAACCGAACTTTCAGTCGAATAGCTTGGTCATAGTTTTCTAAATGACTGATTTGAAAAAACACTAATGTATAGGTTGCCTATCCAACCTATACATTAGTGTCAATATGTGTTAGCTTTATGTTCGTATATAGCTGTATATCCATATCTGTATGGTGACGGATTAAGAGTACGGAGTTTCACCATTATTCATCCCGTGGATGTCGTAAGAGCCGACTAAGGAAGGAAACTATGCATGAAAACAGCACTGCAAAAAGAAAGTTCGAATCAAACCCTATAACAACCCGTCAGGCCATCGTGGTACAGAAGGCCAAAACCTAAATTCTAAAGACAGGCCTATGTCCTGTAGTGAACTACTAAAGGTTGCTGATGATTGATGAAGATTGTTTGTTCGAGTACGTCCAGTCCTATGTGTACCACTCTGCTAAGGGTAAATTATATCGAATATGTTGTAAATATGTGAATGAAGTCGAATTACTAGCCCGAGATAAAAAATGTGGCTGAATCGATTTCATTTTCTCCTTTTATATCAGGACAAAATGAAGAAACATGCTGTAAGTAAACACATAATGCGACAAATTATTATCAATCCTCGAATCCTCGATAGGTTTTGGACTTTTTCTATCCACCGGGATACATATTTTG